ATGGCGTTGACATAGTTCTTTACAAAACCAAGGAATAGCGGCTACATGGCTAGGTCACTTTTACTCGAGTGGATGGAAGTGGTACTGCCTTGAAAGTTTTAGTTTTCCAAGCAGTAACTGCTGGTGACAACAGAGGAAGAAGAAGACCTCTACTCCGTAGAAAATGTTAAGTGGAGAGCGACCTGGCTTTACTTCTTTTTCAACTGGCGCCAAACAGCAGAGGGGACGAACTAATGACCCACTACTATTGAAAAATAAAAATAAGTAATCGGGGGGGAGGCTTCACAAACAAAAAACACATTTGACGTTTCAATAATTCCGGTACAAATTGAATTTTTAGCCGGTTTTATGAGTTTGTGCTTGCTTCATGAAATTTAATCATTTAAAAATAAGATTTCATTCAAATTTTCTCTCCAATTCTGAGGCCATAGCCTCTTCGACTTCACTGCCTTTAGGCCCCACCTTAGAGATCCCACTGGAAATCAATCGAAAACCACAAAAAGCAATCAGGATCTACATAATTAGAGCAATTAACTTTGATTCGTTTTAAATTTTTGTTAGTTGCGTTTAATCTAGAAACCCCGTTTTCATGCTAAGTAAGCGCTCAGCTCTGCATATTAATATTATTTAATATAAACTAGAAATACCTGGTACAATAACAAATATCGTATGTTCTTTTATAACTGAAGCAAAGATCATTGTCTTACTTCTGTCGTTCAATCGTTCAGTCGTTCAGCGCGTTGCCGGATTTCCCAGGCAATATCAATTTGTTCTGTGGGAAATTAGCATAAAAGCGTGAGTATAAAATTGCAGTGGAGTGAATGAATCACAACTTAATTGTGCACTGATTTTGCTGTTAGTTCGAATTTCGCATTTTAAATACGAACATAAAAGAGATACTCGAGCTCGAAGAACTGACTGCAAATAAAAATGTAAATGTGGCTGATGTAGACATAAAGTTCTCAATATGGAAATGTATCGGTTCGTAAAAATGTTATTAAAACTCGGCTGCTGTTGGTCCACTGGCAGGTTACGAAGTGTTTGAAAATCGAATTTGACAGCAGCAGATAGAAGTTTTTTAATAGCTTATTTGTCGAAAAATGTAGGAGAAAAAATTACACGATTTCCTTATGATCATAACGACAAATACTGGCATCACCATAATCTATTTTCAATAGATATATGTATATTTTTCTCTCCCGTGTAATATCAGAAAGATCAGGGATATAAAAGGTCTAGTTCACACATTCAAGCTCATATATTTTTGTTGCACTACCGTTCATGTCTTAAAATACACTCCATACAAAAAATATGAAACTAAAACTGCCTGCTCTAAGTGGCATCCCTGAACTCTCTTAGAGGTGAACTTTAACAAACCGTTACGAATTGGCAATCCACTGTCCAAAACAAACAAAATTATTACGAAAGAAACATTCCAAAAACTGGCGCGCAACAACACTGATTAAGGCAAGCACAACGTAGTGTTGGAGGAAATATTGACGGCCGATTTCGTAATCGGTGGCAAGTTGCGACAGCTCACAACGGTTTTGGCATTCAATTCAAGATATGAACAGAACTGCTAACAAGCTTTATGTGTGTTTATTTGTTCGTTAATGTTTTTTACCTTTCATGTACACGAAGTTGGTTTCAACGCCGCAATTGGTGCAGGTCTGTGAATCGAATAATATTGTCCACCTTTTCGATCTCTCTTTATGCATCAGTTCTCCGGTTAATTGTTAGCAGTTTTAAAGCTTTTCTTTTTCTCAAGGTTAACGTTGACAATTTTTACATAACTTCTCAATTCGTCACGTCGTCTTTATTGTTTTATGCTTTTTTTTTGCATATTTTAGGTTTTTTTACCTTTCATTTCAGTTGTTTTTCTCTCTTCATTCGGCACAAATATTTTCAGTTTTCTCACTAATGTTCCGTTAGTCAGTAGCAAATCACTTCTCAACATTTGCTCTAAATAATTGAGATGATTGCTCGAAATAAATAAATTTTCCATTAAATAATTAATTTATTTTTGCTTAAGCTAATTATTTTTAATTAGTTTTTCAAAGGAATGCTATGCATTCATAATTTTGCGACACTTTTTTTTAACTGTTGTAGCTCTTTGGCTGAAAAAATATTGGAATGAGTAACAATAATTAAATGAATTTTTGTAAAACTTACTTACAACTTGCTATGAGTAGCGCGCTATGTCTTGAGGAGAGAGTCATTTAAGGTGCTTAGAATAATATTTCCGGAAAATGTATATTTAATGTTAGAAAAATATTTATATACCTAAAAATCTTTATGTTTTATGTTAGTTTTTATACTTGCTAAGTTACTTTGCCTTGGGTTCTATAAAAAAATCAGAAGCAAACCAATATTTACTTCCCTAAAATTCGCGTATTTCTATTTTTACTATTAATTTGTTATAGTTACCTGTACTTCAGGCTTAAATCATTCACAAATTCACCACCGGTAAGCTTAAACACACTGAGCTTAAAACTAAATAATATGGCTATCAAAAATCCAACAACAGTTTGTTGTTCACTGTAATGAACGTGTTGTGCTCAGGTTATTTTACTGAGAAAAACTTTAGTGCATACTTTTAGTCAGCCCGAAATGGATATATTTGCGTAAATATGCTCACTTCGTATAAATATTTTTATAGTAGCAATTATTGTAGATTCTCTGATATCATGACCATGTGTTGGAAAAATTAAGTTTGGATGGTCGACTCTGGTGAGGGCAGACGTTAGTTCGTAATGGTTTTGTAATAATTTCTCTAAATTTATTTGAGAATTGATATAATGAAGCAAATACGCCTCAGACATTTTGAAAAATAAGCCGTCAAATCTTTCAATTATTTATCCACCAATGTTGCCGGTCTCAGACCCGCCTTCTGATTCAGCAACCAAAGCAGCAACATTTCAGATGCGTGTCCTGTTTTCGGACTATGTATGTAAAGCAAAGAAATGCTTCTGAAATAATGATTTCTGAAGGACCGACACCTTGCCCGATCCACGATCACGAGGAATTCCCGCCCCAACTAACACCAACAGGAAATTGCACTAACGAAAGTTCTCGACATACTCATGTCAACGCTGAAGCCCGAAAACTAGGAAAATCTAAAACTGTTAGCTAAATAGTGAGTATTGTGTTTCTTGATTTCCAAAAAGCTACGTATAGTATTAGGTGTAGTAGAAAGAAATCTTTTATTTTTCAATGGATGGCTTGATTTATCTGTATTTCTCCATGTATAAGCCCGATCGGGTTCCGCTACATGTTCACGGAGGAGGGCCAATTGTAGAAAATGTCGTTAAGATCATGGGCATTGTCGAATCCGACCATCATGTAAGCACTGTTCCGATTGCCCAAGCGCTAAAGATTGCACCAAAACTGTTTGGTAGCATTTCAATAAAACACTCTCAATTTTATGCAGAAATAATGGATTTCTTCATACTACAGCTAATATATTTGCTTTCAAAGCATTAAGAAACGTAAATCAGTTGACAAAGAACTTTTTGCAACGTTCGAGCTTTGCATTCCACTTTCGCATTCATATTTTGCTATAAGTAAGCTTTCAACAAAAGCTTAAAGGCAAAGTTCAGTTCAACAGTGGAGCATAAGCACTGCAATGCTTCAAACACTTATAATTTCGGAACTAAAGTATTTGCAGAGTTAACCACATAACTATTTTATATAGAGCTCAATATTGGTTTAATAATATTATTTAATAAAGATTTTTTCTTAAAAAAAGAATTTCGAGAATTAATTTTTGTTACTTTCCTTTAGATATCTTTAACACCTCACTTAATTTTTTGACGATGTTAGATGTTAGAAGTAAAATATGGTTTCCTTTACCGAAATGTATTTATAATTATAATTTATCTAAGTGCGGAGGCAGGTTTTTACATAACAATCATTTCTGGCGCGAAAACGCGTCTTTTGACAACGGCTTTTGTAAGCTGCCAAAAATTAATGAGCAGTCATTCAATTGAAAGTGAACACAAATCAAACAATATTTCCTTGTTTGGCTTAAGATTCAGCCAGCCAATTAATATTACAGCGGTCAAAGCGAAGATTTCCCAGTTAACTCAACTGAGCCCGATCTTATGATTCACGATGACAAACCACTAAAAGCAAATAAACGTGTTGTTGACCAGCAAGTTGTGTTGGTTGGAGCGCACAAGTTGTCCACTTGGCCGCAGATATTTTTTAAACTTTTTCCAAATGAAATGGCAAGTCGCCAACAATGGACAGTGTCTCACACGCAGTTTTCTGCACCGTACGTACATACGTATCTATTTTTCTTCACTTTCATGGCTTGTATTTCCGTCTTTGTACACACGCTCTTTCTTGTTCGCGAAAACTCGTCACTCGCTGCAGCTGAAGTGCAGGTTCAATGATTTGGAAAAACCAAAAAAGGCGTAGCCATTGCGATTTCATAATTGTCAGCGACACAAAGCGTAGGTGATGCTATAAATATTATAAATATTAAATAAAGCTGCAATATTATCTACTTTCTTGAGTTTTCCCATTGCTTTGCATTTTATTTTCTAGATATTAATATTTTTTTCACCTTTGTCCCGCTCATGCATCGCCAACTGACACAAGGTTTTGGCGGGAAAAATCTGCCATAGGGAAGCTAAAACGAGTTTGTTGCTTAAGTCTTTAGTAAAATGATTTATATTTGTCGGATACATTGTAAATGAATATTTAAAGCATCGGTATGTGCCTTTAGCAATTGTTTTTACGCCTAAATAAAAACAATTCATTCCAATTCTAAGAATTTAATATTTATTGAATTATTAACTAAATTATATTAAGTATATCAAATTCAAATCGCTTATCGCAAATGCTTACCGCTTCAGAAACATTTCAGTTTGAAAATTTTGAGATGAAAAATTTTAAAATTCTATTTCAAAAGTTGTTAAGTTAAATAATAAATTCTTTAAAAACGTAAAATCGATGTAAAAAGCTGCAAAATAAGAAAACTAAAACAACAAATATTGCTATAATTTGAGGCAGAGCTCCGCCTCTTCAACGAACATTTAATACACTTTAAATCAGTTAAAAGTAAGGATTGTCAGTTTATAAGAGTCAACTCGTGATAATAATATAAGCAATGAGCATAATGAGTAATTAGTTAGTTAAAGTACAGTTAAATACAATAAGATAGTGACTAATGACATTCGGACAATTCAGTACAGAATTAAATAGAATTAAGAATACACGCGTACATATAATTATATATAGAGGTGATGATAGTGTTGTTGTATTGATAATTGGCAAATGTGCTAATGGCAAATGAATAAAATAAGTATAAAGTAACGAATGAACAGTCGCATGAGTTAGAATATTAACGCTATCACAGTGTATCGAACTCAGTAGATATACATATACATATGTACATATATAGAAATAAATAGAAGAAATGAAAAAAAAAAATTCAAATTCAAATCAAACTATAAATACTAGTCTTGTTGTGATCTGGCAGTGGAAGTACATTTGTAATTAAATATGAATGTGAGAGTAATGAAAATATTTAGACAGTTGAATGTTTGTTTGTGCGTTTCCTTCAATGCTTTCCTTCCAGGCCATAATTTAGCTAATTCCATTTCATTATTACGAATATTTAAGTACTTCATTTCTGATGCTGTTTGCTTCTTCTTCTTCTTTTATTCGCTTATTTTTCACTTTTATTCCGCTTTCGTCTCTTTTATTTACTTAGTTTTAATAATGTGCTTCATGTCCATGTTCCTCGTGATGTACTGGTGAAGTTTTGTGCACGACAGCGTTGAAACCGTTATGTTTGTCCGCTGTGTAGTCCACGGTACGAATGGAGCCATCGGGCTCGACTAACGAATATTGACCTGAAGAATGAAATAATTTTATTAATGAGCATTTAAATTTTTTGAAGGTGTTTCTATTTAAAATCTTATGAAATCAAACGACTTTAGTAAGCCAACTAAGGAATAATTATTAATTACGGGCGGAGCATGGCTATGAATCAGAAACGTTAAAAAAAATTTAACGCGCACGCAGACGCAGGAATGTCTAAATAAAATTAAGAATTATGAAATTTATTTTGTTTTTTATTTGTTTTTTTTTTATTTTTATTTTTTGAACGAGTATTTCTCAAGAACCATGTTCTGCTTTATATTGATATTTCAAGGATGAAATCAGAAAATCAAATAGATCTTCTGAGGTGCTGAGAAAAGCAGTCTTTATAGATCTTTATCTATTTATTTACTCAGATCAGATTCACCACCTAATCATTTTATGACCTTTAAGATTTTATGTATCTGATTGAGCTTCTTTAAGATATTCATCCTTACAGTATACTTTACCCATCAAACATATTACTATTAAATATTTTATTCACAAACCTTTGACGGAATCTCCATCGCGTGACTCATGTTGGGATTTCACATCACCGGTGTGGAAGTCATTCACACCATATTTGAAAGCATATTTAGGTGGAGCCTTTGACAAATCAAACAAAGAGTTATTAATATGTATTTAAAGCCAATGGCACTTGCGATAGATATTGAGCCATTCAGGCGTTTACTTACATAATAATCCACATGCTCCTCTTCATGCTCATAACCATGGTGCTCTTCACCCAATGAAACACGATCGATTTGATGATGTCCACCCAGGTCATGTCCACTCAGTTCATGACCACCACCGATTTCCTCATAACCACCATGCTCCTCATAATAATGACCGATCGGTGATGCGATGGCAAGGCAAAGAACGGAGGCGAAAATCAAATACTGCAAGGAGAGAGTATTTAAATAAATATGAAATTCTACATCAAATGAATTTTATTTTTGAATATTTTTTGTGATTTTTGATGCCAAAACTAAGAAAAAATTGAATGGTCCAAATGTTAAAAAACTAATAGCACAAGTAGATAATATTAAATAGTTTTCCGAATTTACAAAAAAAAAATCTTAACGATTTTATGATAAATATGCTCTGTTCTGCCAAAAACATAACTAAATGGGAAAATTTTTCAGCAGCTCCATAATTTATAAATAAATTAAGAATTATTTCTGTTCAAAAATTACAGATGGTGGTTTTTGTAATTAAAATACTAGTTTACCTTAAGTTTTTACAATTGCTTTGTATATGAAAGAGATTACTAAATTTTAAATAAATAATTGTTTATGAATTTTACAACTTAAATAGAAACAAGGAAATTTTAGTCTATAAGACGAACTTTCTCATCTTCGCGAATCTGATGGGTAAAATGTTTTAATGCCCAAAAGATCACTTTTTCAATATCTTCTTGAGTGGTTCACTTACAAAAAAAAAATCCTATTAAATTTAAGAATCGAGTTTGATGGAAAAAGTAAGACCACTTTTTGGGCGTTGTATTAGTATTAGTGTAGTGTAGTTTTTAGTGTCCAAATTTGAATTTTTACAATCAAAGTTGGTAGCACTGAGAATACCACCCCATAATCCCTTCTTCAAGTTCTTAAAAAAAAACTTATTCATTTGTTGCGTGCCCATTTTAATATTTGAATGCACTGTTTTCCGTTTTGAGCTGGATTTGGAGATGAAATTTGGGTGAAGCCAAAATGTCCATTTGCTTTACATGCACATATATTGATTTATTAATATTTCGTTGAATTGTTCTGTTTTTTTTTTTTAATTTTTATGATAACACACTGGTAAGCACTTAATTTTTAATATAAAATTTGTTAATTATTTTTCGTATTATCCTTCGCATTGCTCACCTTCAGTGCCATTTCGAATTAGCTTTATTTATGTATTAAATATATTTTTAATTATATATTTTTTCTAAATACACCAGATCGGTACTGATTTGTGTATGTATTTTGTTATTTATTAAAAACGAGATCACTACTTTGTGCTGATCGAACTGAACGTTGCCACTTTTCAAAACTGAATAATACCAAAGATCGAAAACTTGGTGCTTTTATATACTAAGGAAGAAAGTTCCACATGCAATCATGAACGAGTAAGCCGACCAACATTCAACATTCAACATTCAACAGGCAACACCAATAACCAACAACAACAAACAATGTTGTAGCCAAAAGCAATAGAAAACCCGAACAATAACAAACATAGTAACTACTCACTTGCATTCAAAAATTGAGATTAAGAGTTTGAGAATACAGCCAAGAGAGCGAGAGTACACTGGAAATGGGTTTTGAAAGGCAGCAAAACCAACGGGACACATGTGCATATCGAAGGAGTGCGGAGAGGATCGACGATGCAGACACTTGTCGTGAGTTCCCAGTAAGCCCAAATTGCAATGAAAATAAAATTAACAAAAATACACGAACGTGAAAAAAACTATATCAGCTGGAATTTTGCTGCTCCAATGCTTTTAGTGGTGCGACAATAAAAACTCCGCATCGTAAATACGAAATTATGCCAAAAAATTGTTTTGGAAATTTAATTAGTGTTTATGTTTGCAGCAGCAGCACTAAATTATTTTACCAACACAAATGCAGGCCAGGCTGAGTCTGGCTTGTGTTAGACCGTTGTCTGAGATGAGTTGCTGCAACACCGCTATATTTTTGTTTAGTTGGTCGGTAATTAAACAAAAACTTTTATTACAGCGAAGATTTACCTTACCGTTAAGGTACTGCATATTGTTGACATTAAATTTATCTATGTCAATGTGCTCACCATTTAATGCCTGTAGTGTCAGCTGTCAGTGCTTAAGTGCCCATAAAGCATGGATTGCTTAAGTTATTTGTGTTGCGGTACTCATATTGCCTCAATTGTAACATCGCGACTAATTTATGGCTTAAGTTATACGAAATCGATGTGAACGTTTAGAAAAGGCTTTAGAAATGAAAAACTTGGATCACTTTTTCGAATAGAGGCAAATTATTCTGAACTCTATTTTATTTACATTCAAATCCTTTTTTTAATTAAAGAACTAAGGAGCTGAAAGAATTATGTACAAGAAATATTGTGGTCTTAAAGGATTTCTTGGCATACAAATGTAGTACAAAAATTAATATTAATATTAACCCTTTTTATACAATTGAAACGGAGTTAGAACTATTGCGGCAGTAAATTCGAAGAAAAGATCTGAATAAGGGACACTCATATACTAGTTTTGATTTCAATGGATATGTGCCCATTTCTCTTTTGCTCTATGTATTGATGATATTCTTATATTGAAACTCTTTCGTGCGATGGAGAAAAAATTATACAGACGACTGAGATGTTTTGTAAGAACTTACTTCATACATATAGACACAACTAATACTTATGGTATTGTACATTTTTAAGAATGATTTTACTCTTCTTCTTTAGTCTTTTGTAAAATATTTCACTTAAAACACAATTCGCTCTATAAATGAATTCATTCCTATTTTACTTTACTCATTTAGCAACATGCATTAATGCAAGGAATGGAGCATCCTACCTACCTACCTGCAAAAACCTTAAAAGTTCAACAAATAAGACTAGAGCTAAAATCGCAAGCCTAGAATACATTAACTTGTATATACACATGTATAAGTATATGTTATCCAACATTTTCTTATTCATATTTAAAAAAAAAAAATTGACCAGACGCTGAGACAGCCAATACACGTGCCATAGCCAAACAAACTCACACATGCGGAATATACAGACTAATGTGGCTATTGTATATGTGTATGTATTCATAAATAGGCTCTTACCGTGTGAATTTCGTAAGCTCACTTTAATGCCTAACCACCTAGAAAGAGGAAAACCACCAAAAGCCCACAATGCTTAGACACCTTCATCGGACACAATAAACAGTAGAAATAGTAGAGGAGTGTAGTAAAAAAAAAAATATATTATAAAAAGTAAGTGCCTTTTGAAAAGTAACTGCCGTGACGCGTAAATGTGGCAATAATGGCGAAAAAGTGGCTGCCACGACAGAAGCAGTAACAATAAGCAACAGGTGATCTACTTTGAGTTGTACAACTAATTGAAAAAAGCGCATTGAGAGCAAAAGTAAACAATGTGCACAATCATTGCTATGGGTATAAATGATTGCACACACACTCACACACACGGTGCTTCGCTGCAGTGCAGAGCTCAGCTGACAAGTGAAAATTCTGGTTTAAGCATGAACTCATGCCAGTTCGCTTCTTTTCAGCATTATACTCGTATGTAAGTGGTATTGGTTTTTAGAAAAAGGTTTGAATCTCAGACAGGTTAATTTTTTAATGTCCATCTTTGCGCAGTTAAAGGAAATTCAACACAACACAACAAAAGTAGTATCTAGTATGAAACTAAAGCATAATGATGTCAAAAATATCAGTCCCATCCTATGTTGAGAGAAGGAAATAGTTGGATTAAAAATGCGAGGTAATAACATTCGAGAGCAAAATGAGTACCTTTTCCTACAGGGTCATTGTATGCTCAATTACGATTATATTTATATATGCAAATGTTCATGAATGATTATTGTTATTATATTTATGTTGCTCCGTTTGGCAATTGCAGATTATTTAAACATCGAGTAGATACATAATTTGAATATTATAATTTGCGTTTTTTTCCTTTTTTTGGAAAACTGAAATGCTTGTGACTTCATTATATGCAAAAAGAATTTGACTTATTTCTAAACAAGCATTCACTCAAATTAGAAAAAATTCTTAAATATTTTAAAAGTAAAAATAAAAGATTTTCCTTAAATTAGTATGCAATCGCCATTTCTCGATTCTTTAATGCCACCAACTCTTAACTTTTTAACTTGACCATAATAATTGGCCATAATATAGAAATAACTACGTAATTGTTGGCTTGTGTTGAATACCTTCGGTATATCGAATACCGCAAAATTTGTTTTGTATTAACTTATAGGGTATCCATTTTGCGGTAAAAAAAAAGTCGTAAAAATAATGCAAACTTCGATCCATTTGAGGCATTTATTGGGCGATATCTCCGCTATAACTTGACGAATGTTGGTTTCAAGTGCTCTAGACTTGAAGGTTTATCCGCAAAAACGTGGTCTTATAAAAAGTGTAACGGTATCAATGCCAGAATCTTAGTGACCAGAAAGTTTCCCTCACAATAACGTCATATTCGCTCAGGTTGTGTGGAATGTGGCACCATCTTGTTGAAACCACACTCCAAAGAGCACTCCAGGCGTGTAATGTCCTATCAATTTGCTTGTAAATATATCCTTTGAGTAAGAAATACGCCACGATGCTGAAGAAAATCGGAAAATCGCCAATCGCTGGTTGCTCAAGTACCCAATCGCTGGCTCAAGTTGTTGGATAAACTGGACTTTATATGGATAACGGTGTAAGTCCATGTGCAAAACACACCAAAATATCCTGTAAGAACATTACAGTTCTTGAGAACGGCGAGAAATATACTCTTTCAGGGCTTCGCCAACACATTGCCTTATACTAGCAATATTTGAGGCGGAACGACCAAAACGATGATCCCCAGGCCTTTCAATATCTTTAGTCGATACAGTCCCCTCAAATCTCTGTGTGCACCATAATCTTCTCTTCTCCTCTCGCAGGAAACGTGGTCACGTCTGTATCACCATTTATGTAGTAGATCATAACAAAATATGTTGCGTTTGAAAGACTTCAAAATGCAGCCCTGTAATTTTGAAACTTCGAAATGAATAACCGTATAGTTGTGAATAACGTTTCTCTCTTTACAATTGAAAATAATTGACAACAATTAACCCCAACGACACGCCAAGCTCTTGCATAATGGAATGGAATAGAGTGGAGTGGAAAATTGATATTTCATTCGTCATTAACATTATTTGTTTTACCAATACCAGCATGCATAGTCCCAGGTAAGAAAAATGCATTCGAAATTAAAATTTTATTGTGATTAATTAGCCCACAAAATGACCAGCAGAATGGTATGAAATTTAGCGGACAGACATCAAGCAGGCTCAGGCGATATATGCAGGTTTTGGGTGAATATTGTGTGCATTTCGGATCACCGATATTCATTAAGTGAAATATACAATTTGGTAATATTTTTCATTTATTTTCAACAATCTGCACTCTGACAGTTTTACGTGTATTTTTATTTTAATCTTATTCGATATTTTTTATTTATGAAAATTCATTATAAAATTCAATTCAATTGCGTTGGGGGGAGACATCCAGGTGTTGTAGTGAGCAAATTTATTTTGTTACTTGCATTTCCATTGCAAATTACTGTGCTGAAACTGTTTTTTCCTTTGATTGTGGCCGCTGGCACTTAGCTCATTAATTTCGGATTCTTGAAATGTCTTCTCTTACTCCGTCTTGTGTGCTTTGTGAAGCATGAATTTGTGACTCAATTACGTTTTTGCTTGTAGTATTTTGCCTTTGGGCCTAATGTTTTTATAGATTTTCTAGTCAGCTGTATGGCATGCACAATCATGGATCTACAGACATTTTGGCTTCGTTTTTGTAGAAATATGAACTAATGATTCCCTCTGCTTATAGAGCACACCAAGCTTCGACTTTTTGATGGTGTAACAACAACAACAATAATGTCTTGTTCCAAATGCGACAATTTTATTTGTTAACGTAACCTTTCAACCAAAAATTTGTTTCATCGCTGTACAAAATTTTCCTGTGAATATCGGGTTCGGTGGCCATCTCGTTTTTGGTAAAAGCTGTCAAAAAGTCCAACTCCGAAAAACATATTGACTCATTGATATCCCCACGCTTAAACAAAACACCCTTTATGCACCTGATAATTTGGGAATAGCATTAAGATATAATCAGAGACATCTGTTTGGGGTCTCTTGCTGATGCATTCGATTGTCGTTGCAGACAGCTTTTATTTCAAAGACATATTTGTAATACTGATTCAGGCTCCAGACATATACTCGTACATGCATACATACATACATACTTAAATTACTATTTCGATAATTAAAAGACCTCCACAATTCCACCAGAACA